CTTACCAAACGCTCAAAAAGGATACAAAAAGAGACAAAGCAGCGGTCGTGGAATCTCGAACAGGTCAGGGCTGCTCTAGCGCCTAAAAAGGTCCATTTCGTACGCAAGGAGGGCGGCGAAAAGCGAATTCTGCGTACTGTTACATTAGAATAGGCCTATAGAAGCTATTTCTATCGAAATTAGCCAATTTGAATGAGTATAGCAGCTCTAATGCAGTAGAATTTGGTGTTGTTGCTAACCCGAAATTGGCCCGCTTTGTGGGGTGGCCCGCTTTGTGGTGTTGGGCGTTAGTGCAGTTGAAATCTGGCGCTCCTTCAATTAGCACCGTCAATCTTCTATTTTCTGATATGGCAGAAACTTCCTCAAATCACGCTCTTTCAGATAGAGATCCAAGAAGGAGGATTTTCAAGGACAAGCGTCTTCATATCTTGTTTGAATACAGCATACTAGGGTTATTTTTTGGGAACCTTGACCTTCAGAGAAGCGTACAACAAAACCGGCCGAGTCATCAATATCTGTATATCAAGCCCTGATAGCTCGGAGCCACGTCTGCTCAACTTCATGACCACTCCAGAGATCCTTTCTATGGTCTGCGTTCTGTGCTTCTTGTTCCGTACCGTCCGTGTTCCAGCCCGCCAATATCTACCAAAGGGATCTTCAGACAGGAACAACGAAAGTCTAGATGCATTGAAATGTCCTTGTTATCGTCAAGGGCCAAGGAATGAGGAGCGACATGAGGAGCGACATGAATTGCAAAGATTATATGGGATCGATAAAAGAGCCTGCCAAAATGATTATTTTTACTACGAATGCAACGGCAATTTGGTCACAAGATCAAAGCACTGCTGCGACTGATTAAAGAAATGTTCGCTCTGGTACGGCTAGAGAACAACACGCAACGAGGGGAAGAAGGGAAAGTCACTCAAGTGAATAAAGTCATGATTGGACAGTGAGTGAGAAGCGTGAGCCTGGGACGAGTGTAGGTAGCTGGCAGGGTTACACCCTGGTGCTCATGCGTATGGAGCAGGCAGGCAGCAGCAGATTTTCTGGCTTTCCTGTTGGTAAGTTTGATCATAGCTTGAGCTTCCTCTGGACCCGGTTGATTGGGACTTTCAAACCTACTCAGCACTAATATATACACTTAAAATTTCTCCCCTGTAAGAGGTTGAACACAGATTTCCTTCAGCCTACGTCACATCACCAACTCTTCCTACCTTAACAATAACTTCAGCTGACGGTTCACAATAATGGCCTTCATCAACGTCCAATCAAGGTGCGCCATTAATGGACAAGCAGAATACCGCTTACTAACTTTGATATAACAACAGCCTTGTGAATTTGGGTAAATGCGATCAATGTGGCGGGAGTGGATAGGGTGGAGGGGAAACAGCATGCAGTGGTTGCGGTGGTTCAGGCCAGAAGTAATGTAAGTTGGCTAGATCTGTATGGCACTCAACAATGGTAACTCTTTTAGCCTTATTCTAAAGGTGTCTGGGATGGATGCTATGAAATCTTTTGATTCAGCACTGAATGCCACCAGTTGCCCATCCGTTCGTGTTGATATTAAACCCCAGTTCTCGGCTGCGACACTTATTTAGTTCTGAGCTTGATCAACTCGAGTAGAACTACTTTTTTACAAGCTATGACCAAGCGGACGATTGCTCTAAAGTGAACTGCATAATCTTCCTATCACCGACGCCACCTATCTATGACCCAAGCAATTTCAAGCAGACTTCATAGACCCCAAACATGACGGCAGCAGATGGTACTACACGCAAGAGCTGCGGCGTGAGGCCTCCATAAATCCCTGCGAGTCCTTCTTCCTTGCACACGAGGCGGAAGCATTGGAACAATCCCGTATATTTGGGGTTTTGATTTCCCTGGGGGGCCTGCCTAAGCCTCGTTCTGACGACCTTGATTCATCTATTAGCAAAGCTCAAGAAGCTTGACAAGTAAGAGTTTTGTTACCTCATGAGGATAAGTAGCAACGGCTGCCAATAACTTTGCAATGCCAGCAGCGCCAGTTTTTCTGCCCCAAGCCAAAGAGACATTCCAAACATTTTGATCGTCGTCAGTGAAGACAGCTCTAGCCTCCTTCTTCGCTAGATATATCTTCATTTGCTCGTACAAAATCCACTGCAATGCGCTCTCTGATATTCCAAGATAACTGGCGCTCAATCCTTTGTACAGCCCCTTTACCCCTTCATTTCGAAACACTTGGACAGCACAATCAAGGCTGTTTTTATATCGAGGGGTTGATGCTGATCGTGCACTCTCCGAGTTCGATTTATCCAGCTGTAATCTTGTTTTCACGAGCCAAATCGGATTTGTAGCCGTGCTGGTGACGACTCCTGTAGAAACTGCTGCTAGCAGATGGACCTAGGCAGTCTCCTGTCCCCCGTTCGTCTTGTCTGATATGATACGCTTGCTGTTGCCATAGACATAGAATTTGATGGCACTAGCAGGGACAAAGCCGGTAAGTGTCGGACCAAGGCCTTTATATAAGGCGCGCCAGCCTTCGGTGCGACCGATGGAGAATAGACTTTGAAAGTCTCATGGCAGTGAAGAAGAGAGGAGCGTAAGGAGGAATGCGACGAGCGATGGAGATGAGGCGTATGCCGAAACTGAGTGCAGTACAAGTCTGACTGTAGGCGAGTTTTCAAAACGTCAAAAGGTGCCGTCGCAATTGCGGCGGTCATGCCTCCAGCTCTAAACACCACGCACTGTTAGCAGTGATACATACGACGTAAAACAGGTCCTATAGATTTTAATACCCGCCAGCAACGAAGTGCACCCATGACTTATGTTCGGCTCGGCTGCTCGATCTTGTGTTGTCTGTAAAGTGCGGAAGGGCTTGATCGGAGAGTTGAGTGGACTTGAGCTGTGGATACTGCACCTGGTTGATAGAGATGTCTGGAACATTCATGGATGAAGCGGAATTCTTGAGGCGCACCAACTTACAAGGTACATATTGCTTCTCGGCATTGTAACCTCGGTATTGTAACAGTAAACCCTTAATGAGTCTCACTCTATAACGGAAGGTATGCCGAGGTCACTCTTTTCCTTTACACAAATCACGAATCCTCACATAACAATAAATCGATTAAGGAACTCATCTACCACCGCAAATATCCACAAACATAAGTGTGCAGGCGGGGTCTAGAAACTCATGGCCGTCTTCTAGACGAACGCAGAAGAAAAAAAGCAGTAATAAGTGTTTGGACATCGCTTTGTTGGTGGTACAGCATGTTGCTCTTATAATTAGCCAATCCAACCAACCGTACTGCTCTCAAAAGGCGATTGGTTTTCATTAACTGTATAGTTATCACATAGCGACAGACAGACGGTAGGAGCAGTATCCTGTTGACACTGAAATGGCACACTTCCTTATTAAGAATAGTACTTCTATGCGTTTTAGTAGCATAATATCTCTGATGCAGCCTTGGCACAAGGAACACTAAAATATTCGGAGTACAGTTTCTATCTTACATTTTCTCTATCAAATAATGAGATTTCTTGGAATTTCAAAGTGTAGAAATGATCAAAATCTTAATTTCTATTGAGCGGTCTTATTCTTATGATAAGAAACCTGATAAATAGAGTGATGTAGCCGGGAGAGTGTTTAGAAGCAAAACAACTTTGGTGTTGTTCTTGCCAAGGCTGCAGCAAAATTATTACGCTAGATCGCGGGAATATTATTCTCAACAAGGAAGTGTGCCATTTCAGTAACACAGGGGATAACACAAGTTAAGACTTTCCAACCATTAGCATTAAGGAATATGACAACCGATAAGAGTATAAACGCTGCTCTCCACCTGCTCTTAGCCTCTGTCATGATCCTGTCATCGATGATTGCAATGTACCCAAATCACAACTTTTCATTTCACATAAACGTCAACGTACAAAACAATATGCGCTTCAACTAAACAAAACATTGTAATCTTGAAAATGTTAGGATGTGACCTAGTGTTCCACGTCAACAGAGTCTGTTAACGCATAGATATAAGTTGGTCAAGACAAAATTTCTGTAAGTCAGCAATCTATCTCGTACTAAACTGAAGACTGTTATTATACACTTGTTTACTCAACTCCCACTGGCAGTGTCACTGAATAAGTCTCCTTCTGTATTGAGAGTAGTGTTTCCGCAATTTAGCATGACAACTTGCAGTCTTGGCAAAAGAAACATCAAAATTCTGGAATTTTGGTGAAAAATCAAAAGTATTGAGGTTCATAGTGCCAAGACTGTAGCAGAATTATCAACTTTAATCTGTTTAAGATCGTGCCGAAGATTGCCCGTTCAGTAAATTTATCTCATTAAAAATCTTGGCATCAAACATATGGAATAATTTAAGCTTGAACACATTCGATCTTGAGTCAGAGGTAGCCTTCAGGTCACCTTAGATAATAGATATCGGCTGTACGGTTCCTTTTCATGACCCAACTTCTACCGAATGAGATTATTGCAGCATCATCTTTCGAATAGCCGCACCCACAGTAACAGAACCGAGAGCATCATGAAAGTACGGCTTACCGAACCACGACCTTGAGTCACTTACAAAAAGAGCAGACCATTCTCCAACATTCTGAGAACATCTGTTCTTGACCTTCGAACATGGCGAAAAGTGCAACCGTGGCTGTAGAGCCAAACTTCCTGGCACAAATGTTAGATGCCAGTCTCGATCCACGGCAGAATAAAGAAGGTAGGCTTGAAGCACACCCACAGAGCGTTCCATATACTGATGAGCTTCAGCCGAGTTGAAAATCCGAGCCGAGGAGAAAAAATCGGGCTTCTCACTGGTGCTTCTCCAAATCACTGCTTCCGATTCTTTTTCCTCAAATACCAGACTGGCAAGTGCGCTATTCTTCAAGAACTTCATCAAGCGCAACTGGACGGACGAAGATGGAAATTACAAGCTTCCGGAACAAGAGGTCGCATCTATCAAGAGTGAACTGATTGGTTTGATGGTGTCGGTCCCCCCAAGCATTCAGGCGCAACTAGGAGAGGCGATCAGTGCTATCGCAGACAGTGATTTCTGGCAACAATGGGATACGCTGGTTGATGATTTGGTGTCCAGACTTACTCCAGACAATCACGTCGTAAATGCAGGAGTTCTGCAAGTGGCGCATTCGATCTTCTCAAGATGGAGGCCCTTGTTCCGGTCGGATGAGCTTTTCACGGAAGTTAACCATGTTTTAAGCAAATTTGCTGTTCCATACATGTCCTTGCTGCAGAACCTTGACGCCTGTATCGAAAAGGACAAGTCGAATAAAGTTGCCCTGTCGCAGGATTTTGCCGAGTTAGATCTTGCTGTGCAGCTTTTTTATGATTTGTCCTGCCAGGATCTGCCCCCTCAATTCGAAGATGCAATTCCTGCTCTGGCAGATCTTCTACTCAAGTACTTACGATTTGACAATGAGCTCCTTCGCACAGACGACGAGAACGAAGCTGGACCGCTTGAGAGTGTGAAAGCAGGCATCTTTGAGGGGCTAACCCTCTATGTCCAGAAATATTATGATGCTTTTGGTCCACATGTGAAACGCTTTGTGGAAAATTCCTGGGAGCTGCTCACAACTGTTGGGCTTGAACCCAAGTATGATGTTCTCGTCAGCAAGGCGCTCAATTTCCTAACCTCCACCACCTCTAACCCAGAGCAAGCGAAACCATTCAACGACAACAACGTTTTGGCACAAGTGGTCGATAAGGTCATATTGCCAAACCTAAGTCTGCGCGATTCGGACATTGAGATGTTTGAAGATGAACCAATTGAGTTCATCCGGCGAGACCTGGAAGGTTCGGATAGTGAAACGAGACGGAGAGCCGCGACGGACTTCCTAAGAAAACTTATGGAGCAGTTCGAAACACCAGTCACGACCGTGGTCTCATCATATGTCAAACAATACCTCGCTATGTACTCCAAGAATCCAAAGGCCAACTGGAGGGCGAAAGATACTGCAGTCTACCTGTTCTGCTCGATAGCGGCCAAAGGCACCCCAACAGCTGCCAGGGGAGTTGCCCAGACGAACAGTCTCGTCGATGTCGGAGAGTTTTTCTCTAATAATTTGGCGGGTGACCTTACAGGCTCTAACATTGAGCCTCTACTAAAAGTTGATGCCATCAAGTATCTCTACATATTCCGAAGTATCATCACGAATGAGCAATGGCAGCAAGCGATGCCCCTGCTAGTCAATCGCCTTGGTGATTCAAACTATGTTGTCTACACATACGCTGGGATCGCCGTTGAGCGCGTCTTATACCTCACAGATGAGAACGGAAAGCCATTGATCGACCCTACCCACATCACCTCATTATCTCAGGACCTGCTGGAGCATTTGTTTTCGCTCATTGAGCAAAGTGGACGGGCGGAGAAGATTCAAGAAAATGAGTTTCTCATGCGCTGCGTGATGAGGGTTTTGATCGTGATCAAGGAAGGTCTGTTGCCTATAACTGATGCCGTGCTGCAGCACCTTGTCAGCATTACGAACATCATTTATCGCAATCCAAGTAACCCCAGATTCTACTACTACCATTTCGAATCCATTGGGGCGTTAATAAGGTGGGTGAGGTCTCAGGGTCAAGCTAAGGGTTCTAACATGATTTCAGATTTGCGGGTCCATCAGAGGCTCTGAAAATGCAACAAGCATTCTTCAGCCCTTTTCTCGTCATTTTGCAGAACTCAGTGGAAGGTGAGCAGGCCGGATGATCCTACTTAGGCCCATATCGCTAATGAGACTCTAGAATTCATGCCTTACGTATTTCAGCTCTTTGCTGCTATGCTTGAGGTGGAACCTGCGAAGCCTTTGCCTCAGCCGTTTCAATCACTGATTCCGCCCATCATTGCACCTCCCATATGGGAACAGCGGGGGAATGTGCCCGCCTTGGTGCGGTTGCTGACAGCAATCATTCCCCGTGCTGCGGAAGATCTAGCCCAAAGCAATCAATTAGAGGGAGTCCTCGGAATATTTCAAAAGCTGGTCTCTACTAAAATCTACGAAAGCCATGGTTTCGACCTGCTAGAATGCGTCATTGACAGTTATCCACCGGCTACTCTAGAACCTTATTGGATCCATGTCATCACAATCATGCTAACTCGTTTGCAAAGCCAGCAAAGTACAGCTTTTCATCTACGCTTCGTTCGCTTCTACCATTACATAGCCTCACGCGATGACAGAGGTCTGGGAACAGACTTCTTCGTCGCGGTGACAGATAAGGTGCAGCATGATGTTTTCAGAGGCCTCTACTTGTCCATTGTCCTACCGAAAACTCAACAGCTTACCCGACCTCTTGACAGGAAAACCGCAGTTATCTCCTTCACCAAATCACTTGCCGACTCAGAAGCATTCGTGACTCGCTACCCAAAAGGATGGCCGCACACATGCAATGCTTTGTTGAAGCTTCTCGAGGTTCCACCCCTGCCATCGAAACGCGAGGACATGATTACAGATCATGATGTAGATGACAGCAGCTTTGGGGTTGGCTTTACCCAACTACAGACCATCAGGAAACCTATCAACGACCCTTGGGCTGATGTGATGGACTTGAGGAAGTGGGTTGGTCAGTATTTACAGGCTGCGGATAGGAGGCATTCTGGTCGCATAGGAAAGTTTGTGAACGAGGGTTTATCGGAGGATGCCAAAGGGGTCCTTTCGACGTACATGCGTCTTTAGAAACTCATGCAATGACCATGAGTTGGCAGAATGTACGATTGGCAAAAGCTGAATCACACTTAGAGAGCACGGCATAGAGCCCCAGCTGCAGGGTACTTGATCGATCGTGGAGTCTTCATGGTCTGGCCAGCCCTATCTTAACAAAACCGTACACATTTCATTCATTAGTAGGTGAGATCGGTGGAAAGGCCTGCTATGCTTGAGTTCACATTGCTTGAAGCCCAATTTTTCACCGCTGGTATCGATAGCGTCACGGATCTGTCCCAGAGCGCATCATTTGCTAATAAATTACTTAATCACCTAACTAGTAGTGTTAGCTTCAGCGTTTTTATTCTCACTAACTAGGGAAATCGTGTATTCGCACTCCAAAGTACTCGTTGCTTTCGTAACGCGTGAGCCTCGACTTTCGCAGCCAATGCCGTTCCAGATACAGTGGAAAGACGTCTACGTTTGCCTTGGCTGCTCCTTGAAGGCAAGCAAGAGATCCATTTCCTCAAGTACGAAATACAGCAATTCGATCCCTGCAAGCCAGCAGACCGCAGACACCCCATTATTTGTGGATCAACTTTCTCGATACACCCCTGCCTCTCACCCTTCTGCGCAAACCGATGATTTCAGCCAAAATGGGAACATATCTCAATCCGTGGACAGCCCTAAAAAAAAGCAGGGAAACGCCAACCAATCCCCAAAGCTCAAGGGAATAAAAACCAGACGGGTTCATCCTCGGCCACGGTTACTGGACGGACAGTTAGAGGGCATAGCTGCGCTCAGCCGGCTGACGAAGAAATTGGCTGAGGTATCCAAAACCACAGTCTCGCTGCAAGATACTCTGAAGCAAGTCCGTCAGGGAGACAACGATGCGATAGAAAAGAAATTTATAAGCACATTGAGCGAGATCTATTCTGGGAGAAGTGTTGGGGTTCTGGTGCGGGAGCTCGTTGTCTTGCAAAAGCTCAATCGAGACTCGCTAATAAATGCACGCATCGAGCATCTTGTCGCCGAACTAACAAGGGCTGGTCTTTTGGAAGCGCCGACAGGTAGTCAGTGGCATCATGTAGAACCTCAGAAGCACTCTAGCACTAAAATAGTGGGAAAAGACCAGGCCTCGCGATCGGCCGCAGTCACGACTCCTGCAAAGCTGAAGGATCGTAAAGTCCCTGCTAGGGACTTGCGAAGGTCACCGAATGAGGCAAAGCCTCGCAGAAGGGAAGCAGCAGCAAAAGTCGAAGCCACAGGTAGGAAATCCAGACGTCGTACGAATCCGGACCACCTGCCCACAAGCAAAGAGACACACGAATTTACATCAACCATCGAAGTTGATGCTGTGAGCATCTCTCCGCTGCCTAGAACTGGACCAGATGTTCCTCATCTGTGCCATGACCTGTCCAGAGTATTGTTTAATCCTGGCATCTACCAACTGCAAGACCCCAGATCACGGGTCTATAATTTTGATCCGTACCTGGAGAAGATCATGCCCGTGTCCGAGTTCGACTTCAAGATTCTCAAAGAGTATATCACTTCCTCCAGGGACGGAACCCTACGTTCATTGGCCTTGGAGCATGGCAAAAAATACGTTGGCTCATCATCGAGCATGACCTCTACGCTGGCTCAACTTCACTTTCTACTATCACAATGGAGGGAGATCAATACCAAGGTTATAACGAGAGGATTTTCTGAAACGTTGAGGTCATTCACGTTGATTCAGCGCAGTCCCAGTTCCGTCTTTCTCCGTTATCAGGATGGAGTATATGCTATGGATGCGGACAAAGAGTATGATTCAGCGAACATATTAATGAGTTTGGGCAAGTCTATGGAAAAGCTATTGACCCAAGAACCTCAAGATTTCGAGCGTTACCGGAAAACCAGCGAGACCAAGGTCCCGGAAGAAGAGCGCTGTGCGCCAGAAGCGTACCAATATACCCACGCTGGTGATTTTCTCATGCGTGCCCAACTGGACGCTTGCGATCCTCGGCTACCTGGGACTGGTACTTTCGACTTAAAGACACGGGCGGTGGCGTCCATCCGTCATAACGTTAAACAGCACGAAGAGGGGTTCGGGTATCAGATCAAAACCCGGTTTGGAAATTGGGAATCCTACGAACGGGAGTACTTTGACATGATGCGGTCAGCTTTCTTGAAGTATTCTTTGCAGGTGAGGTTGGGGCGGATGGATGGCATATTTGTCGCTTTCCACAATGTCGAACGAATTTTTGGCTTCCAATACGTAAGTTTACCGGAAATGGACATGGCCTTGCACGGCCAATACGACACCTCACTTGGAGACAAGGAATTTAAGCTCAGCGTAGAGCTACTTAACCGAATTCTTAATTATATTACTGAGAGATTCCCGAAACGGTCCTTGCGGCTCCAATTCGAAACCCGCGACCCAGCTACTAGAGGAGCTTTTATGCATATTTTCGCAGAACCGATGGACGAAGCCAAGATTGAGGCCATCCAAAATTCCAGAAAAGAGGCCATTGACGCGTTTGAACAACGCTTGATGAATCCAGATACGAGTTCTCTAATTCAACACGTGGATGACGTTGAAGCAGTGTACGAGCAGCCCAATCTCCCTTCTGAGGCTTCCGCGGTCCCCGCAAAGACCGAAGAGTCTGCTACCCAAGTAGTCGATCCTATACTGACGGAGCAGCTTGCTGCTGTAGCTGACGCTGCAGCGGAAGAAGTACACGCCCCACCCCATAGCAGAGAAGGTGGCTCCAATGAGGCTGCTAGTGATGAACAGCCCACTACCACTGCGAAAGGGCCACAGAAGGCGGAACCAGTCTCCAAGCTGCTAATGCTGAAGCTGCGCATACGGAATAGAGTCAATGAGAAGATTGTGGAACGGCCCACATCTCTCGCTAGTTCTGACGTGTGGTCCCTTGATTATAGTCTGGAGGAGGAAACAACAGAGGCTGTTGCGCAAGCTCAATACCGCGCGTCAAAGGCACGAAGGAAGGCCGTTTTGGAGGACCGAGAGCAGAACTCGGCGGCCAATTTCTATTTAAGGAAATTGCGCGAAATGGCAAGCCAGGGGGCGGAATGGCGAAAGGCTCAGGACGAGCTAGACGCTGGTCGCAAGCGGGTCGTGCTGTATGAAGGTCGATAGTGGTGTCCTTTGAACAGCATCGTTGTATATGGAGTACGAGTGATTCTAGAAGCTCAACGAAGATCGTGTCAGCGCATTATTTGGTGACAAAGACATACATCAGACCTGCCGAATTAATCACTTAGCCAGGCCAGTATAGAACTGGTAGGGGAATATAATTTTTTAGGGAGCTCGGAGTCCTTGTCATTTCATGAAAGGTTTTCTTATAATTTCCTCGTCATTTAAATGTCACCCTAAGCTTCAACACAGCACCACTGGTTATAAAATGCCCAAATGTCAGGCCTAATTCACTAGGGGCCCTGATCTGGAGCCTACCAGTAGCTACCAAAGACATTGTCATGCCTCACGCACTGACTAGAGGATCAAATAACCCCTTCGCACGGTAGGTCGGGGCCTCCGGGCCCACGAGGCCTTGGCTGGACTTGACGCTTGACGCAATCGCATGTAACCACAAGGGCAACTACTACGTACATCGGGCTTTTTCCTGCATGCTCCAACTGTGCAATCATTTTTGCGATGGAGCTGACTTTACTGACTTCATACATGAGCTAGCTTCCCGTTCGATATCGAAAATTCAATTGGCCCAAAATACCTCGATCCGGAACATCACACCCATTCTCCCTCACACCCATTCATTTCTATTCGTGGCAGACCATCGACAACAAATATCTTGCGAGCGGGCGCATTGCGGGAAAGCAGTACAAATGAAACGAAAAGCTCCTCTGGTTTGTCTGGATAGTTGAAACAAATCTGCGGTTCCGTCTGCTCTGGAATACTTGAGATAGCGATGAGAAAGAAACAGCCTTAATACACGGTGTTCTCGATGTGGGAATAGCTCGAAAGGTCAAACAGTTGCATGATCATAGCAAAACAGTGGACTGTGGCCCTGCTCCCACTATGTCTGATATGCGGCGCCGGAAAAGCCTGAGTATTTTTCGGCCAACACTTCCGACAGTATCCACGGGATCTAGTGATGAATCCTCTACTGGAGGAGGCAACAGCGGCGGCGGCAGCATTCTCCGGAAGAAAGGCGGCAGGCCTCTGTCTATCTTTGCTTCACGTTCTACACCTTCCAGCCCTTCCATTCCGAATTATGATGTCGCCAATTTCGAGAAAGTCGGCTTATCAGAAAGCCCGAAGCTTCGCTCCCGAACTCTGCATAAAGGAGGCCGAGCTTCGGTGTTTGGGTCTCTGAGGTCATTGCGATCGTCAGAAGACGACGATGTACTAACAAAGACGGAATCCAAGGCATCTTCGACAAATGAAGAGAATGATCTGCAAGGGTCGTTGCAGGCTGGTTTGTTTGGGAGTTCAGTCCTGCATCATGGCGAGGTGCAAACCATGGGAGGAATGTTTCGGAAGAGGAGTCATTATCTCGTGTTGACTGAAACACACCTTCTGCGCTTTAAAGGACAGACGAAGGCTGCGGAGATGTACCCCGTAATTCCTGTGTCCATGGGCAGAAGCAGTGGTCATCGGCAATCAATGGGATCTTTCGGCTCAAATAGCGATGCCCAAAGCTCAATCATGTCAGATATCGTTGATGGCATTGCGCTTAATCAAATCATCGCAACATCTAAGCTGGACGACGGAAGGCCTTATTTCTCGATCGAGGTGTCACATCTGGAGGACGCGACCAACAGAGCTTCTTCTATGTCTATGCAACTCAACGACCCACGAGAAGCTGATCTTTGGCTACTAGCTATTCGTAATGCGGCTGCGAAGGCAAGGAATAAACATGGCTACGACTTCCCACCTGCTATGTTAGCATACATCGCACGAGCGCTAGAGCATTACCGAGACTACGATCCTAGGCATTTCCAACTTTTTAGAGTGGTACAACGTACCGCCAACAAGTCTGTAAGTAGATCTTCAACGGACGACCTTGCTAAACTGAATTCTTCGACCTGCTATCTCGCCGTTGGGATCAACAGTGTTCATTTGGTCCCACTAAAGAGGTCGATTGACCGATCGTCTACCTCTTCGTTGCAGGACTTGGAAGCTCCGACTTCCTTTGGCATTACGACGTTGTCTTCCATGTCCCTTCAACCCGGCGATGATACCTTCCAATTAACCTTTCGGGTACCACTACAAAGCACTTTCACCCTCTTTCTCGCGTCAGCGAAGGCGAAGGAAATAGTTCTCTGGATAAAGAATAGGGCAGAGTATTTGAGACCGGAGTGGGTTCACCAGCCGTTTGCGTTCTTTGCACCCGCGGAGCTTGACGATGATATGGCCCTATCAGAATCCTCAGAGGACGAGCACAAATTCTTCGACCGGACTCTGATAGCCTATTGTGCTGGTTTCAATGTTGATGTCTCCAGAATCTGCTACAGCGTGGACTATCGATGTGAGGACGCACCTTGCTTCAGACTCTTGAAACCGTTCGGTCCGTGCTACAACGCCCTGGAGCTCTTGGCAGTCATCAGAGCTCTACGATACAATGAATCCTTTACCTCCATCTCATTTGCGGGCATCAACCTGGACGTACTACAAGGCATCTACGACCTATATGGCGTAGATTTCGATGCTCTATACACTCGGTCTGGAGTAGCTACCAACCTCCCGAACCAAGAAGAATTACCTTTACTCTCTCAGGAGATTAGAGCACTCGCCTTGAAAAGTAGAAGACTTCGTCGGCTTGATTTCTCCTACTGCTTGACAAGACGACACCGGTCTGGCACCGACATCGACACCAAAGCCTGCGGAATACCTGAAGCGCTTGTTCCACTATGCAAGAAGACATTGACGAATGTGGATTGGCTAGTGTTGAACGGCATAAGACTTGGCGATTCTGATCTCGATTACTTGGTCGACGCAGCTTCTCAAAGGGTCTGCCACCTTCGTGCTCTGGAGATAGGTAATTGCGGGCTGTCTGTGCACGATATAGATGTACTGCTATCCACCTTAGCTGTGCAGGAAAGTACTATGGAGGTGATTGATATCTCCGGAGTGCAGGGAAGGTTTAGTCCGGAGCTTTTCCAACGTCAGATAGGATACTTTGGCCATATTCGCAAGCTCAATCTTACCAGAGTGCAGAAGACCGCAGGTCCTGAATCGTTGATTGCACCGGAAACTCTGCTGACATGGAGGTTGGAAGAGTTACAATTAAGCCAGACGGTTGTCAACCAGGAGACTGTTGACTCGATCGCGGCATATCTAGCAAGCTCCAAGTCAGACTCGCTCCATGAGCTTGGTTTGGATCAATGCGGGCTTACGGGCAAAGATCTTGCCATCTTCTTTAGCGCGATGAATCGGGACCGTGGTCCACCTCGCGATATGCATGTTAGCGCAAGCGAAAACCGTCTCAAAGCAGGGTACCAATTCCTATTTGACATCATTGGGCAGAACAAGTCGCCGACGCATTTGACCATGCGGATGATTGAGTTCGAAAAGGAACATCATTTCCGTCAGCTGGTACAAGCGCTACAGAAGAATACTGCGCTAAAGGTATTAGATATCTCAAAGGCTTCTTTGCCCTACGATGCAGGGGAGGAGACGTGCAAAGAATTGCAGAAGATGTTTGAAAAAAATTCGTCGCTAGAAGAACTCGATATCAGTGGTGAACAGGCTCACCTGGATTCGGCAAGGTTTGGCATCGGTTTGAATCTTGCGCTAACTGGGCTTAAGAAAAACAATACCCTGAGAATGTTGAAGATTGAGCACCAGAACTTAGGCATGCAAGGAGCCAACACGTTGGCAGAGGTGCTCGAAGCAAACAACTCGCTTGTAGAGATTCATTGTGAGAACAACGACATCAATCTCCAAAGTTTCACAGTGCTCGTGAATGGGTTGCAGAAGAACACATCTGTCACATATATGCCGTCTATGGCTCGCGATCGGGAGAAGTCGTTAGAAAAGGTCAAACGGGAAATTCAGGCCATTAATAACAGCGCAGAACTGGTTTCTCCTTCTGGCAGCTCCTCGATCAAGCGAAGTTTCACTGGAGTCATGAGTGGTAGAGGCAATCGGCCGTCTATGACACAGACCAACATCAATCCTATTCCTGCATATACTGAACAAGATGTTAAAGCCGCAGTAGACGCCTTACATGAGAAATGGAATGCGGAAGTTGCACGAATGCAAGGCTACCTTGCAAGAAATTACCACCTCCAGCATGGACTTCCGTGGGGAGGCCAGGACACAAACGAGAATCAGAGACCACGTACGGCGGAGACATTGGGAGATGTCTTGAGAAGCGTCAAATTGGATAGCACGCCTACTTTGGAAAAGGAGCTGGGGCTGGGATGGATAGACGAAAAGCCGGATGTGACACCCAAGAAGCCACCTGCGGCTTTCAGTCTGCCCGAAGAATAACAACGCGGAATAGACGTCTGCCTTTGACTTCTCTCGCTTTTGATACCAGTTTTGACCACGACGTATGAGAGATTCGATGAGTCAGAAAAAACTTGCATTGGCAGGAAGGGACTGATTTTGATATGAACATGACATTATGGAAAGGAAAGATGGCTGGTAACAATGTATATAGACTGTATATCCATCAATGACTTATGGATACCATGCCCACCACGGGAAAAGCTGTGAGCTGGGGCATGAACGTGCATATAACACCTGTGCTATCTCGGTACTCGCTGGGGCCAAGCAGCTCATTGTTGAGCCTCGGTTTACACAGGCAGAATATATGTTGAGAACACACAAGGCTCATAACCTCATAACGTCAGGGCAAAGTACTGTGCAATCCACATCATCTCAGCCCGAATATTAATGACAGTATGGATGACACGCGTATTGGCCAGGTCAATCCAAACATTCTCCCAGCAATTTTGTCACCATGTAAATCTTGTGCAACCGGATACCAGTAACCGTGTCGTCATGGCCGAAGCTGCAAAACTCTGCACTGTTTAGCAATAGCACTCACTGCATTCTGGGTTTTGATGCTTAATACCCAACAGGTAGCTCCGAAGTTGCTACAGGAGTATGTCATGGCAATAGCCTGCCTCCCTTCCTCAGTCTTTCAATTCCAGCAATTGTTTGAGGACCCATGCAAGCATCGCCGCGCCGCGCGCTGTTGTTGGATCGTCAATTTCGCCCAGCTGATCTTGGTGTCGCGTTAGCCTTGGGCCTTCGGGCTGAAGCATGGCTGTGCACTGCGCAGACATTTCAAGCATTTCCGCTCCCCCTTCAGGTGCTCACTTGTCTTTAGTCTATGAGCATCATACCCAGTGGCAGTCCTACTGAACATTCTTCTTCGCCGACACACAATCTTGACTCTTCTGTCACAATCAGGCACAATGTCCTTTGTCAAGTCGTGAGAATCCTTGACAATAAGGGGCCGCCTCCACCCTCATCTCCCAACTCGCCGCAGCTATCTCTCCCATAGGACACGGCGGATTCTTCCTTTCCTACTCTGAGCCCTTGCAATCTCTTCCTCGGCGCTGACGTCCTCCCCGCCGCCTCTTGAAACCTGTATCTTCCAGCTCCTCAATTCGGCCTTCAGAGTTAACAACATCAACCTCTTTACAATGCGCCGTGGACTCTTAATTTTCCTGATAATAAATGCTCTCATTCTTACCTTCCTCATTCGCTCAGTCTTTACCCTCTTGACACTCCTCTTTGAAGATGCTTCAGCAGACGCCATATCGCATTCGGAACTTCCTGCGCCAAATTCTACCCTGATTGACACTCGACCACAGCTCATCCCCAAACTCATTCACCAGACCTACAAGACTGAGACAATTCCAGCCCACTGGCGCGAAGCTCAGCAGTCTTGCATAGACCTTCACCCAGACTACGAATACATACTATGGACAGATGCCAAGTGTCGCGACTTTATCCGCGACAAATATCCTTGGTTTCTGGACACTTTCGACGGTTATGCATACCCCATCCAGCGCGCAGACGCGATTAGGTATTTTGTGCTCGTGCACTATGGAGGGGTCTACATTGACCTAGACGATGGCTGTAATCGTCGGCTAGACCCTCTGTTATACTACACCGCCTGGGTGCGCCGCACGAAGCCCACAGGTATTTCCAACGATGCAATGGGTGCAGTGCCGCAGCATCCATTCTTCCTCCGAGTCATCAAAAGTCTACAGAAATATGACCGTCAATGGGTCCTACCATATATTACCATCATGTACTCCACTGGTCCGCTCTTCCTTAGCGTCGTTTGGAAGGAATGGATGGGTGAGAATAGTGGGCGTGCCGCGGACTGGAATGGCCGTGTTCGTGTCCTCATGAAACCCGAGTACAATCAACATCCGTGGTCTTTCTTCAAACATTACCGTGGCAGCAGCTGGCATCGCGAAGATGCAAAGCTCATCTTCTGGATGGGTAGGCACTGGATGCTGCTTACAGCTCTGGGATTCATGTTCGCCGGCGTTGTGGGTATGGCGCTTTGGTGGCTGTATGGGACAATACTGCTATTAGGCAGCCATAGGAAGTCTGCGATGGCAGGCCTTAATCGCGGCAGGAAAAACAGTAGCAGCAGCCCGCCCAGATCACGGTTATCGCTGTGGAGTTGGCGGAGCGGCAACAAGCAGCAGTACGAACTTGTCCAGCAGAGGGAGCCTTGAAGACGTCTCCTTCAAGGCTTCATTTTTGCTTTTGTTCCACTTGCCCTGTCCTCGCGCGTCTTTGCTAGCATAGCGATGTGGAGTTAGGAAAGTGTATGCATGGGAAATTGGGCGGGTAGAGTATGCGAGCAGCGCATCTCCTGGTGTTCAAATAGCGAGCGGTTGTCTTCGGACGGTTGAGGTACGGCTGTGCTACATTGGTGTTCTGATACGCAGCTTTTGTTAGCCGTATACAATCCATGGGCTCCTGGAGAACCCTCTTGATCCATATCGTATCCCATTGATCCTCCAGAACAGCTTCTACACATTGAGCCCTTGGCAAATTGTCAACAAGCCTTCACTTCGAACAGGAACGAAATACTAGTACTAGTTAGTAGCTTGTCGGAGATGCCAAGGTGAAATCTTGGCATCGAGATCTCCTTCGACGGAACTACTAGTAGTAGTTAGCACTGAGATTTTGCCAGTTTTGTCCTCCGACCCATGGCCTTATCCACAGATACATTCGCAGCAAAATTGCGTGTTCTGTGATGGCTGTCAAAACATCAATGAAGAGCCGGCCATCCTCGAAATCTGGCTCTTCTTCCTCCGCACCACGTAGAAGCAAGACCACTTCTTCAGCCTCAAATAAAATCACTAGACGCCCTCCACCGAAACAAGTGAAAACCAAACCCGGCAACCACAACCCCACGGCCAGCATAACAGCAGCCTCTAAACGCAAAAAAAGACGTATCTACACCGACGCCGAGCTCAACCTCCCAGCACTCAACACCATCACACCTGCGTCTGCGGCAGCTGCACCGCGCGGCAGCGGCAAGAAGAAGAATAAGATCTATATTGATGACCGAGAGAGCATGATGACGATCATGGCCCTGGTGACTGCGGAGAAGGAGGGCCAGATTGAGAGCAAGATGGTCAAGATGAGGAGGATGGAGGAGATTCGGGATGCGCGACGGGTGGAGGCGGAGAAGAGGGAGGAGGAAAGGAGGAAGAGGTTGGAGGGGGTAAAGAAGGGGCTTAAGAGCGGGCGAAAGGTTGCGGGTGGTGAGAGGGATTATGATGGGGAGGTGAAGGGTGAGGAGCGGAATGACACGAAGAAGACTGCGAAGAAGAGGGTTGCATTTGCTTGAGCTCGTGGACTCTGTTCGGCTTTACGTTCTGCGGTTTGTGTACCGAGAAGATTTTTCTCGCCTTATTCACCAGCATGAGCTGTCCCAACGCCGTTGCTCGATGCTCGCTTATGCTGCCGCAGATCCTAGGTATGCGCCACATATCTTCTATTATGTGGCTACTCTGATTGCCGCTCCACAAAAACCGAAACGCCAATCCTACGCGTCCACAGCAACATGCAGCTTTCTTCGCATCGGCTCGAATCTTGGTCGGCCAGGATCTCCGGTATTCTTAAGACTGTCCAGCACGCCGTCGACCTCCAGTTGCTCAGGCACGTCTATCTCGAACGCCATTTTATTGAAAAATGCTTCTGTCTGCTGCCGCATTCAGTGACCGGGTGTTGATAAGGCCAAGTTTGGGAACGCTTACCACTCTTGCAAACCATCGTCCACCACCGAGCTCAAACCAGCTCAAATGCCCACCTAGGGATGTCGTACAAAGCACTGCGTAAGGGTTCTGTTCCATCTCATTCCGTGGCAAAGCCTCGTCAGCAGCAATCGGGTCATCTCTAGCATGCAGCGCGAAAAAGGGAATTCTGATTGCAAGCAAAGAATCACTCGATGAAGCGTCGCGGTAATATGCACCCTCAGTTGGGTATCCCCACGTCGGGCCCTGCACATCTCTGTCAAATTCATGCAAATATCTCAGTCTGCGTATCTTCTCTACGTCAATCCTTGGATTCTTCGAGATCTGGTCCACGTGTGTTTCGAACAACCTCCTCATATTTGTGCCCATTGTGCGGGAGTAGACGTGGAGGCCAAGGAATGTGCTTTGAAGAACCACTGAGGAGACATCGAGGTTCCAGGGATTCGACAGTACCATTGCTGCCTTCAATTCGCATCCTGCACCTTCTTCTCCGAGATAGTTGGTCAAGATGTTGGCGCCCAGGGAGAAACCAATAGCAAAAAGCGGTCTGTTGGGAAATGTTGTTCTGAGCCATCTCACTGTCTGCCGCATATCCCACGTCGCTCTGGCGTTGTACAAGACACTGCTTGTGATCTTGGACATGGCGCACCCTCTCGAGTTGATCACACAAGCCTCCCACCTAACAGTCCCGTTCTGGTCAGGGATAAGCAATGGTGCCAGAGCATGACGAAGATACAGCTCGTAGCTTCCACCACTCAACCCATGCAGAACTACCAGCATAGGCTTACTATCTTGTGAGCCAATTGAGCTGAACTCCGAAGAGGTGAAGTACGTTGTCCTGGGTGGCAGAGCGGGATCCGATGCCTCATATGGCTGGACTGCGAAATCCACAGTGAACATCCCAGCATAGGTTGGGTCCTGGTGTTCGAAGATGTGGCGTTTGTAGTAGATGGGCACTGTGTCGTTCTTCACAACTGTCCAAAGTGTCTGCAGATGGCCATTAAACAAGAACGGGTTCAGCCGACAGGGTGGAGTGATGGACTTGCACAGATCGAGCAAAGAGATCGTTCTACCACCTTCCCTTCTTTGCAGCGATATTGTTCTTGGGCTGTGGTGGTAGGCAGTTCTAGCGTGGCCGAAAAGTCGACCCATGCCCATTCTGATGGTGAATGATACCAGAACCACCAGGACGGCTCCAGCTAGCCCGAGACCTGGGTGATCTCTTGCCTTAAAACTTCCGGCAATGATTCTCTGCCAGACCATTGTTTTCCTGGGATGTGGTTGTTCTTCGAGTTTTGGCGGTATGTTGACGTAATGTCATCGCACATAGATTATGCGCTTCGGCTGTCTGGTTGTGGTTGTGACTTCTTCAACGCTCACCCATCATATATCACTTCTCGTTCCTAGGAGTGGTAACAGTAGACCGAGTCACAGCATGACCAATAGTGACTACTGCTGCGCCCTGCTCAGTCCCAGGTTTACATTCGCTCCGGCTTCGGTGTAATACTGTACCAAATTGTAAGTTGTCAAATGAGCTACATATCTGCCAAGCAGGCCCAAAGACCAGGCACTATCGTCAAATATCTTCTCATACTCATATCCAACTTGGGATCAAAATGCCACCACCAGCCTCCACATCTCACTCTTCATCCGGCGCACCTCCCATTATTCCTCCCGACCAAGTCTCCAAGGAAGCAACCCGCGGTTTTCTGTCCGGCGCCTTCCGCTTCACCTCCATCTCCATCCTTGCACACGTACTCCTCCAACGCGTACACCCTGTCTACCGTGGCCTGACGTTGCAATTCAAAATTTTCATTCAATTGTCAGCCGGGACGCTGGGAGGATGTATATTCGCGGAGAAGAGGGTCAATGAGTATAACAACATGGTGAGGAGACAGCAGAGGGCGCTGGATCGGAGTCATAGGGCTTGGAGTGAGGAAATGGAGGTCAGGGCTGCTATGGAGAGGAGGGAGATGGAAAAAGGGAGCGGAAAGGTTGCTGAGGAGGTTTGATTTGGGTGAGTTGAGACGCAAGGCTGGGGCCGGTTAGGTGTTGATTCGAGGATTGAGGCCAGGCCTCGAAACCCTCAAGGGCCACGACCACAGACCTTTTCACCATATGAGCCGCTGAGGATACACACAGGCAATGATTGATGCCACAACATGAGAGCTGAGCCACGTCAGCCATCGGGACTATCCTATTCATGATTCATGAGGTCGAAGGTCGTGGAGTCAGATGTCATCAGCATCTACGATTTCTTTTCCTGTGGCCACATCTGGGTCGAGCCTGCCACTCCCTACACCCGCGCCCTCCAGCCGCATTCACATCCGAGAATGCATCCTTGAGCAACTGCAACGCCTCGATTGCTCGCCATAATATCCTTGTATTAGATATTTAGTGCCATAAGGGCAATGGCTGTCTAGGTTTCCCAGCAGGATGCGACCCAAGCGGACATTTCTTGTTCATGACGACTTCTGGCAAGGCTTTGTTAAACTCGGTGGCAGACACCAAGTAGCCGCTGCTGTGGTTGCGACAGCTCTGACGTTCACCCCGGTTGGCCTGCTCACCTGGGCATTGGCCACACATGCACAAGGGGCGGTCCAGGACTCGAATATATGCAACAACAGGTATCTTATGCGAGGCTTTACTGGAAACTCGGATGTTTATGGCCTGGGCATTCGGCTTGGAATCTATCTGCAATGGCTGGCATCACTGATTGCAAACCCGCTTCTTGAAAGGGAGCGGGCCACCATGGCCGGATCATACCTCACCTTTTCCTTGGCTCTGGCTATTGCTGTTCTACTCCTGGCTTTTCAACACGAGTGTGCATTTACGTCTGAAATCATTATCGTCCTGACTATCTTCTGGGGCGGGACACTCCTTGTCATGGTGCCATTCGTTCAATTGCTGGCAGACATCGCGACAACGGGTCTGGGCTTGGCTCTCGTCCCATTGATACTCTCCATGCTACCTGTCAGTGCCTGGTTCTGGCTTCGGCTTGCGCTATATGGCGAGCTGGACTTTGCGGCAACGCCCGGTGGGACATCCTTTTTCCTCCTAGGACGCATCACCTCCCAACACCTCCAAGCAGTCAGCTGGTTCATGGCGGTGCTCTGTCTGATACTGTGTGTCATTCCTGTGTTTTCTAGCATTTGTCTGTGTTTGGTTCTCTTTTTGGATTGGGCGGGTCAACGACCACCGGAGTGGAGAGCCGATCAAGAAGAGAAGGCCAGGAAAGACAAGATCCTTGACAGATTGCAAAGGCTGATGAAGCGACGGACAGAGGTGATGGGGGAGAAACCTCCGAAAAAATGGTAAGAGCTGCTACTCAGACTTGGATCTGGGTGTTGACCATCAGGTGGGTAGGCCCATGGTGATGTCCGGCACATTGATCGCTTCTTGGTCGATTATCGCCGTCGAGCTCACTCTTGTCTGGAATTCGGTCAAAGGAGTCTACAACGTCAGATCGACGGGACAGATTATTGCTCTGGTGGTTGGGTTGGGCATACTGGTCAAGGTCCTTTGGCTATTGCGGCACGGAAGGGCAAGCGGGTAAATGCTCTGTTGGACAGCCTTTGATGCCCACATCTGGCCTCGGAAGGAGCTTGGAGATTGCAATGATTTTGGTCATGGTGGAGCAAGTCTTTCAATCCTGGCTAAGTTGTTGTTCCAGCCTGATCCAGGTAGCCGAACAGGAAAAGCCGAGATCTAGATTCGAAGAATGATTACCAGTGCTAGGCTCTATAATGCCTTTATTATAGCAGTGGCCCAGAAGGTTTCAATTACCGTTACTAGTGACATTCAACGCTTCACTAACTCCCCTTCCCACATCCAACCTCCAGCTTTCCTGTATCCAAACGAGATTTAAATTCACACCCGTCCGTCCAAGAACCAGCAAAAGGCTCACAAATGATATGCGGGAGCCTCTCTCTCCCCCCTCCCCCGGACATCTATACAGCTAGGCTTGGGATCCAGCTCTCAGATGAATTCAGACTGAGTATGTACTACTGGTACGGGTTCTGTCAGATGTTGGATAGGACTGATAGGGTACATTATTATCCATAAAAACTTCTATAAGTGGTAAGACGATGAAAGTGGTTCTTGGTCTGAATGGGAGAACGGGTTGTTTCGAATCAAATACATATCTGGGTACGGAAGATGGTGGAGGATATTGGAACTGTATTGTGTATTTTGTCAGGCATTTCTGCCGTGGTGTTCTGGTGACCGAGTCAGTCTCATATCCTTGGCACAAAGACACGCGCTTCAATCTCACCTTCAATTCTTTCCATCTGATGGCCAAGAGGCTTTCGTTCACATTGAACGTACGGAGTATGCCTAGAATGTTTAGATGTGTATCATGTTCTGGCAACGACTAGACGATAGCAACAATTCCATGGTGCACTGGCGTTGATATGTGTGGTCATCAGAATGCCTTACAATGCTGACCAACCACATCTCTACCAGCAATATCCTAACCAACCATACACTAGCCGACAATACGATGGACCGCATTGTCCACCAGTCAATCCCTCTATACAATATCCTCCATTAGAGGTCGCGGTGCCACAACATACGAACCACCAATACCCAGTAAAACCTGGGTATTACATGAACCAACAAACATATTCTCAGCCAGGACACTATCCTCAAGCGTCAATCCAGGGGCCATATCCACCTGGACAAGGCCATCATGAACCTGCAGCGGCCCATCATCAGGTGCTCGCTCCTCGACAGCCGACAATCCAGCTCGAGGTGCCTTCGAGGCCTGTCAAGGAATCCACTGCCTCACCTGTAGATTATCAAATCTTGCTTCTATCACTTGCCGAGGAGTACCTTGATGCCGCTCATGGCAATTCCATGCTCACCGCGTTGTGCCAGGGTGACGTACAGCTTGACAACTATTACAAGCTCGTGTCTACTGCTCTTGGGTGTATGGAGACTGTCCTCAAGAGGTTCAGATTACCGCCGCTTAAAGAAGCACAACTTCGCCTTCGTTTTGCCAGGACTTTGTATGATGAGACCGAAAACGATCTCGAGGCAGAAACAGCTCTCAGCAAAGGCATCGATCTATGTGAGCGTAACAAGCTTCTGGACCTCAAATATACGATGCAGGTCCTGATGTCAAGGGTGTTGCACAGGTCAAATGCGAAAGCCGCGACCAAAGCTATTGATGGAATCATCGAGGATGTTGGGGCTTACCAACACACTGCATGGGAGTATGCATTTCGATTCTTGCGAGCTAGCTTGTCTTTGTCGATGCCTTCGCACCAGGATTTTGTTGCAGCTATCCACCAGTTGCAGGGGATCGCGGACTTGGCCCATCGGAAAAGGGATCAAGCTATTTTCGCTTTCGCTGGCATCACCGAGGCTCTGGCCCACCTGCAAAGCTCAGGTCCTGATTCGGGTAATCAAGCTCAGCGAGCCCTTGCCAAAGCACGGCAAGTTCAGTTGGACCAAGATGTTAGGAGCGTTCCTCAAATTCTGGTCCTGTTCCAATTCGTGGATCTCTGTTGTAGCTTACGGCAGTCCAATCTCGAGCAAATAGGCCAAAACCTGGCCACAATGCAGCAAATCATGGACCAAATCGTGGATGATGTCAGCTGGTTGGACGACGGCACAATCTTGCTGCCCCTGACCTCAAAATCCGCCCAATGTCTTGCTTTAAATGGAGGTGGCATTGTGCAAGAACGCGATGGCAAGCATGTCCTGGCTCTGGCATGGTTGCCGAAAAGGGATGTTTATACGGTGGGATACCTCCTGAGTGCTGTTGCCACCAGTTACAAGAACGCCCAAGGTGACCACAAGTCGGAGCAGTTCATCGATGAAGGTCTAGCGCTGATTCGAAGCAATCCTGCCACCTCGAAACCTCCAGCTGAGTCTCTATCATCTTCTGCGGATCGAGCGAATTGGCGGAAGGTTTTAGAATGCCAGTTTCTGATAGAGAAGGCCTTTCTCCTCTGTGCACGAAGTGCATGGGAGAAAGCACGAGCTCTCATCAACGAACTCAATATCTTCAGCAATGCTCTTTCAGCTCCCCTCCCACCTGAGTTTTACTGTCTAATCCGGTATCTCGACGGAGCAGTACATCAGGGCACCGGCAACCTCACGAAAGCCCTCACCATCTTCCACAGCCCGGACCTCTCCCTTCCACCCAATAGCTCTAAAAGCACACGCAATAACATCGGCCGTGACATTGCTCTATTGGCAGCCATGAACACGATCCTCATAATCCGCTCCCCCGACCACCCAGCACACCACCTCCTACCCTCCCTCATCTCGCGAATCGACCCCTACCTCTCCGCCACGCCGAACAAGCATCTCCTCTCAGCCCGCTCGCTCCTAATCTCCAACCTCCCCACCGCCACCCACGATCTCCTCACCAACGAAACTCTCTCCTCCACCCTTCTGATCAAGAAACACCTCAGCACCGCCCTGAACATCGCCAAGACGATCGGGAACGCGCAGATCACCGCCATGACCTTATCTGTCATGTCGGCCAAGTTCTTCAAGGGAGTGGTGGGCGACCAGGCGGAGAAGAGTGCGCGCGCGGGGCAGAACATGGCATACAAGAGCGGCATGAAGCTGTGGATGAGCGTGAGCAGTGGCATGTTGGCAGACACGTTGGAGAGGCAGGGCAAAAAAGCGGAGGCGGAGAAAGTCAAGGTGCAGGCGCTGAGGTTGGCGGGGATGATGCCGAGGAGTGTGCAGAAGTTCGAGGAGGGGGCGGGTGAAGAAGCCGGCGAGCATTCTGTCGTGGGTGAGAGGAGGAGAAGAGAGGCACTGGAGCAGGGAGAAGATAAAGAGAGGGATGAACTTGCTTGATTTTCCGAGTCGGAGATGTAGGGAGCGAAGCTTGCGTTAACATCACGGATCCGACAGGCAATAAATTGCCCGATCGGCTCAAAACACCGCGGAATGTCGAGTTGCTGAATGAATATTGACATGCCAGAGCTCAGATGTGACCTTCTTTTGGCAGCGAGAAATCTTTGAACTGAAGGACCAGGGTTCGAGGGTTCCATTTAAGAGCTCTCATCATCTCTTCGCTTTCTGGCTGCCATCTAAAAACCTGGTCTCAGCCTCGGCCTAGACTGGTGGATGGAAGGGATGGAAGGGAGAGGGAGGTTCGATGAGCACTGAGCCCTGAGCTTTGAGCTTGAGCTTCTGGCTTGTGTTTGTACTATTCTAAGAGGGAGGGGGAGAGAGAGAGGGAGAGGAGCTTGAGCCGGGCTCTTTGGCTATCGCTTAGGGAAGCGCTTTCGCTGATGGAAAGGACGTGGTGGGTAGAAGGGAAATATGTAAGAGAAGAGACGGAGAGGAGAGCCGCTTACTGCTGAAATTGAGATGCATGAGAGGTGGGTTCGTGGGCTACTGCTCCTCTGTGGTGTATCAGAGAAGATGAGTTGAAAAGAGGGGGAGGACGGGGAGAGAGAGAGAGAGAGAGAGAGAGAGAGAGAGAGAGAGAGAGAGAGAGAGAGAGAGAGAGAGAGAGAGAGAGAGAGAGAGAGAGAGAGTGTGTGTGTGTGTGTATGTGTCACAGTCTGTCTGCCTCTACGCACAGGAGTCTTGCTCCAAGAGTAAAGAGGGCACGAATTACTCTATGCTGGGTGCTGGAGGTTGTAGGGCGATAGCTCTGATGTAGCCGATAAGGCTGTACCGTTGTCTCGCTTTATTGGTGGCTCGTCTGTTGATTGGTGTAGATAGATGTCTATGCCATGTTTCTTGCTCGTGCTCACTCCATCAAGCAGTCATGCTTGACGGCTTCGTGTTGGCGGCGAGAGACGAGAGACCCAGAAACAATGGGCTGTTTGTTCTTTCCTGAACGCCCATGCCAATACCAATACCAATGTGAACACCGGGGCCTCCCATCCGTCTATCAATGCAATGGCTCAAATCGTGTCGAGTCATGCACAATCACACCTGTGAACTCCTTAAATACGTACCCATATCTATGAATCGTCCCATCCCATCTCATCTCACTTCCCCAGCTTGTGGTCCCACCGCTGCCGCCGCCGCCGCCGCAGCCACATCGCCATCCACCCCTCTGGGCTCACTTTCTTCTTCCACCCTCAATCTCCCCTCCCACAACCTCACCCACCAGGCCGGCGGATCCATCGGTCTCTGGCCCTCATACAATCCCGGCCAGACATCAGCAAAAAAGTACCAAACGTGACCGACGACCACGCCCAAGATCTCATCCCTGGGCACCGAGCCATGCATGACGAGACTGAACGCCATGAGCACCCAGGGCAGATAGGGCGCGGTGAAGACCAACAACCCCATCAACGATAATCGGGTGTCCGGATTCCTCCGGCTCCAGATGTAGACGATGGTGCTGGAGAGGGAGGAGCCGAGAAAGAGGAGGGAGCCGGTAGAGAAGAGGGTGGAGGAGAGGACGAGGAGGGAGGTGCAGGCGTAGAGGAGGAGCCAGGAGAAGGTTGCCGGGCTGGGACCGGAGCTGGACTCGAGGAGGCGCGAGTAGCGTTGCAGGAAGAAGAGGTGGAAGAGCAGGTCGAGGCTCAGGGGCCCGAAGTAGGTGAATGTGGTCAGGAGGCGCCAGTACTGTATCGAGTCGAGTCAGCCCGTTCCGGAAAGGTTGTGTTTGAAGGAGTAGAAGGAGAGGGGGGGGCGCCTACCTGTGACCTGACATAGACGGCGCGGAAGCTGTAGTAGAGTTGCAGTGGGTTCACAATCTTGCATTGCGTGAGCACGGCGGTGAGCACGGTCGCCGTCGTCCAGTACCGCGTGCACGGTGGCATCTCGAAGAACCACTGTTCCAGGGGAAATTGTCCCATCTCGCCTAGGCCGCCGTCGCCGCCCAGGATGGCTGCCATGTTGAGCTGATGGCCTGTGGAGGTAGAGAGGCGAGCAACGGATTCCTGAAGAGGCGGTCTACTAAGATGGAGCGGAAGAAGTGTCCGTTTGGAATGTAAACTGTTGGGTTGGCGTGGAGGAGTATCACCACATCGTCACACAGGGCGTCTCAGCAAACGAGTAGTCGAAAAGAAAGATATAGCAGGTGAATGTAAATGTTGGTTGTACATTGCTGCGCGAGCAGGGTTTCTTTATGTATCAAAGTTCTTTGGTAGGTGGCCTTTACGTAGGTCAGGGAGGATGAGACGAGCTCTGGACCCTGATCACCTCCCTCCGCTTCAAGCCTACGTAGTAACTAAACGGCGGCCCTGACGCCTCCACAATTGAAGGCAGATAAGTAGAAGCCGCCAGGTTCTTCCCTACAAAAGATCTGGATCTTTGGCATCCCTTTGATCTGGGTTACAGTCACAGTCACAGTACGGCGCAGAGTCTGTGCCATGACTCCTCCTCCTCGATCCAAGGTTCCCACCCACAACATCCCCAAGCCACCCTGAACCCAACGTCGCAAATATCCCCACACCCTCTCAATCATATCATCCCGCAGCAAGACCAGGAGAAGGACCAAAGGGACCATCTAACCCCCAAACTCGGTCAATGAAGCCCGCCACCAAAAGACTCCTTGTCACCGTAGCAGTCGTCTTCGGCGGCAGCCAACTCGTAGCCATCCAGGTCTTACATCCTGACCATGACCGCATCGCCGAAACCCGGCGTCGCTTGGGCATCCAGGAAAGGGGGGCTCAACAATCGAGGGATGAGTCGCGCCGCAGGGTATGGAGACATGAGCGGCTCCAGCAGGACCTGGGCGGCAGCGCGGCGCGGCCGGATTGGGATACGACATCGAGAACAGAGAAAGGAGGAGGAGGAGGAGGAGGAGGAGGAGGCGAGAAGGCTTGATAGGGAGGCGGATCTAGGGTTCCTGGAATGACAGGAGCCTGGCCCTCGCAAAATGTGTGGGTGTTGGCATATGTAGGGACTTGTTTTTTTTCTTCTACGTCGTCTTATTTAGCGATGCGGTGTGCTCTGTGCTCGCTTGGGAGTGGGATTAGAACCGCTGGTCTCCTCTTTACTGCCTCAGGTACCGCGAGAGGGGGCCTTGACAACAGCAACAGCACATGAATATTGGGCAAAGCCAACGCGTTTTCGGCATATCTCCTTGCAAGCACTGTGGACGCTCGGTCCAATGTTCCCTAATGCATAGAGGAATGAGATTACGATGTTAGCTGTATAGAGGCCTGATGAGGTGATGGTGGGCCAAAGGGAATGCTTGCAACTTCTCTGGGAACTCTTTCAACTCGCAGGCAAAGCGATTTCGAGATCGCTGTTGTGGCAGGTCCCACAGCCCTCACATTTTCGGTACGTACAGGCATAGATGCTGTGCGAGGAATCGTTCCCTCAGAGAAAGCATTCCAACATAATTAGATTCTATATCTTCCCGCTTTGTTCGGCGTCAGAGACTGATTATACGTTCATCTTTCAGTATGTTCACAACACACCCTTCGTACTCACCACATCCCCACCACCCACTGCCCCTTCTCCTCTCCTCTCAATTGCAGT